ACATGTGTAATAGGAGACGGAAATGTTCATCAAGTGAGGCACATGGGTTGAATGTTGAGAAGGAGTCATTCCCTCCACAGCAAAATTATGTCCTGCTGTCACGAGAAGGGGCAACTGAGGCTGGGTGACAAATATCTCACAGGTGTCCATTACAATGGTGGCAGGGAGAAGGTGGCAAAGGTCACCAGGGTCTTGAGGGTCTTGAGGGCCTTTCAGCTGATTTAGGAAACTGCACGAGATAACCACCAGCAGCCCTTCAAGAACATGATTAAAAATCAAGAGGCTAAGCTGGGGCAAGTTCAGAGCGATCTCCAGGCTTGTGCTACCCAATGAGGTTATGAAGAAAAAAAATGGTGAGAAGCCAGAGGTGGCATCTACATTTGACTAGCAACCAACCACAAGAGTGGCATATTGGAGTGATGTGGTCAAGGAGGAGTTGGAAAATTTTCTGATAAAAAATATGGACAAGACTGATTTTGTTATTTGTTTATCTATTTATTTATTTACTTTTACCCCAGGGAATCCAACTTGTAGCCACTCAAACCAAATTCCTTTGAGGTTTGGACCAATAGTTCTTCTCCCATTGTTGCAGCAAGCATCCAACCCAGAACTTTTAGATGTGAGTGAAGCCTTTCCAAAGCTGATAGTTCTGGTGGGAAGATCAACTGAGGGTGAGAGTGGAGTTTGGTTGGAAGATAGGGAAAGGGAGTTAGAAGGATGATGAGGTCCCTGAGATTCTTATGAAATTTACAGTTTGGTTTAGTGTTAGAAGATTATTTTTGGTCTAAGAAATAGATCCCCAACTGCTGTGTTCCTAGATGCACCCTCTTCTGTAAGATTTCTGTTGTTTCTTGTGGAATGCACCTGAGAAATACTCACTCTTTAATGTTCTGTAGGTCCAAAATGTCATTCATTCTTTCCCTCATTTATTCAATCAACCAACATCACATTAAGGGCTTACTGAAAAAGAATCAATGTTTCATCTAGGGCAGTGGGTCTCAACCTTCCTAATGCCGTGTGACCCCTTAATACAGTTCCTCATGTTGTGGTGACCCCCAACCATGAAATTATTTTCATTGCTACTCTATAACTGTAATTTTGCTACTGTTATGGATCGTAATGTAAATATCTGATATGCAGGATGTATTTTCATTGTTACAAATTGAACATAACTAAAGCATAGTGATTAGTCACAAAAACAATATGTAATTATATATTGTGAAATATTTATAATTCATGAAGTGTTGTTTTACCTCCAATACTGCTGCTTTCAACACAGCAGCTGCTTTCTACACAGTAGCTGCTCTCTACACATGTGTGACTGATCCGCATAAGTACATTATGGTGCCAACCCTGTCACATACACCTGTATTTGTATGGGGTGTATGTGATGGGGTTGGTGCGATGATGTCATCATGCCGGGTACTCGTATGTGGGCATATCTGCATGTGGGCAGAGCCGCCTGGAGACAGATAAAGGAGTGGTGTCTCGGTTCCTAAGACCATCGAAAATGTGTGTTTTCCAATGATCTTAGGCCACCCCTGTGAAAGGGTCATTCGACCCCCAAAGGGGTCGCGACCCTCAGGTTGAGAACCGCTGATCTAGGGTATAAAGATTTCCCATCTACCTCCCCCCCACCACCCCATTTCCTCCTGACTATCCCCCCTCGTCATCTAGCTGCCAACTCAGCTACACGTGGATGCCTCCTGGGCATTTCAGAGTCAACATCTCCAATACCAAATTCTTGATACCTCTCTCCCAGCCAAACCCTCTCCTCTTCTAGGTTTTCTCATCTCAAGAAATGGTGCTTTTACCCACTTGCTGGCTTAAGATAAAACATGGCAGCCATTCTTAACATTTTGTGCTACTTCAAGGCTAAATCCAACCCAGCACCTAGTAGATTCTCAATCAATATTGGCCAAATGAAATAACAGGTGGTTGAACAAGAGAGGGAATGATGAACAACGCTTTGAGCTGCCTACATCTGTCACTCCAGCCTGCACCATTGCGTCCCCTATGGGGATGAATGTGTGCTCGTGTCATGGAGACAGCTTGAGCAAGTGTACATCTGAACAAGGATCCTTACATTTTGAAAAACTGTTGCTATTTCCTGGAAACAGATTGTGTTTCTCTGATTGTCTATTAAGGTTTTTTTGGTTTGTTTTTTTTTAACGGCTGAAGATCTTGGAACCAAACCAAAGTAATCTGCATTTCCATTTTTATATCTTAATTTATAAACCGCACCTTATAATTTACAATCACTCACTTAGTGTTTCTAAAATAACTGAAACAAATACCAACCCTGCCAGCTATGCTACCCAAGTCTTCTTGTGCACCCTCCCTGGCACGAACTTTCTAGCTTTTCAACTTGGAGAGGACGGACTGGACTTAGGCCTGGCTTGGGGAGGGTAAGGATAGTAATAATGATAATACATCACATTTTACAGGGAAGAGAGAAGGAAGGCCTCCTTACTCCCACTTTATAGATGAGAAAATAGAGGCTACAGATGGGAGTGATATGACCAAGAAGATTTGCCGATGAGTGGTGGAGCCAGGCCTGCCTAGAATCTGTGTCTCTGAAGTTCCTCACGTCGAGGGTCTTTCCAGGACACCAGACCAGGGTAGATACCACTCTCTCCCATTTTACAGGTGAGGAAATCGAGGCTTCCAGAGGTCATGACTTGCCAGCGATTACAGTTAGTAAATGGTAGGCTGGGATGCTAACCCCAAACCTCTCGAGTCCTGGAGACAGACTTTACCTTCCCCACCCTTCTTCCTCACTCCACTCCAACATAGCTGAGAACCAGACTTTCTTTTCCTGGGTCTGCAGGAAGGTACTGCGTTAGAGAAGCCTAACCCATCCCTCTCCATAAGGCAGTAGCCCATCCCTCTTACGGCAGGCATATTTCAGACACGCAGGACACACATCCACGATTGTGGGTCCATGTCTCCCATGTCCCTGTTGCCCTCTCCAGACCATCCTCAGCCCCAGCACTGGACCTTGCTGAGTAAAGCATCTGTGAGATGCATGCCAGCACAGCAGTGAGGGCTAGGCACAGCAGCCAGCTCCAGAGTAGGATCCTCTTGGCTGTGTCTTGGGGAACTTGGGCAAGAGAAAAACGTCTCTTAGCTCAATTTCCCCATCTATAAAATGGGAAGACTCACTTCTCCAGGAGAGATGTGAGAATTAAATGACGAGAAATGTAGACTGGTTCACATAGGGGCTAGGTGCTGGGGAAATGCTTCCTGCAATGAATGTCCAACTCCCTCCAAGAGGTTAACTGCAACAAACTCACTTTCAATTCCTAAACTCCTTTTGGTCAGTCTGTGACCCCCCCATTAGCCATGTGGAGTTGCTTCTTTAGGGCTATCTGCCCAGCTAAACTTCAAGGTCCCCGAAGGTAAGTCCTGTCTCTTTGTCCCTCCCACAGTGGCCAGCCTGATACATGCTCAGAATGGTTGCTGAAGAGACGATTGTAATGATTCATATAGTTATAAACTTTAGCATCGGGTACTGCCTTCTCTGGGTATATATCTTAACATATTAAGTGGTTTGTCTTGGTTAGTAGCCCGATGACAGGGCCCTGGATTCTCCACTCTGAGCAGTTCGGGCTATTAGCCATTATTTTGGTTCTGCTTTGGCCATTTTCGTTGAATTCCCCACTTCACACTACCTTGTGGTAAGGTTCAAGCTCGGTGTAGCAAACGTGCAGAGTGGAAGAGGAGCTCAGTAGGGCCTGGTAACCAATCCCCATGCCAGGCCCCAGTTCACATCGCTTTCCAGCCTTTTACTCCTGGACCAGTTACTACTGGTGCTTTCTGTGCCTCAATTTCCTCATCAGTAAAGTGGGGATATTAATAGGACCTGCCTCAAAGGGTTAGGAGAAGATTAAATATACAGCGCTAGAATGTATGGCGCCCCCCCAATCACTATTAACAAAGCACCTCTGTCCTTGAATTGGGGTGGGTGGGGTGCCAGAGAGCATGCTGAGGAAGGGGAAACTTTGGCGGGGTTTTTTAGCTCTGTAGAAAGCAGGAACAGGCCCCAGAGTAGCAGGGGCGCACAACCGCTGTAGCAGCTTGTCTTTCCTGCATTCCTTCAGGGAGAAAAGGTGGCTGGTTTCAGGAACTCCTGGGTGCTGCGGGACCAGGAGCCAGACCCCACCGCAAAAGACAAGCAATGCCATCTCCCTCAACTCAATGGCAGCATTCGTTTCATTTTTATTTATTTTTCTAATTAAGAAAAGCTGCTCAAAATTTTGCACTCTTTAAAGCACCCAGGACAGTCTCCCTTCACAGTCATCAAGTCAGTTCCCCCGACACTACTTTTTATTTTTTTTTTGCCTCACGTTTTGGCCTGGCTAAAGGAGCCCAGTGTCTCCCCCAAATTATTTCAGGCGGCGGAGGGACTGCGGGCATCTAATCTCCCACCGCTCAGCCGGGCCCCCAGGGAATCTCCGTCCAGGCTGGCCCCTCCCCCAAGGTCACCCAACTTTTTCTTGTCCCC